GGGTTACCCACAGTTCCGTACACCTCACGCCAAAAACTCGCCGTAAGAGACCGTTTCATTGACTAATCCCTCATATTATCCAGAACGCGGATTATACAACAACTCATCGAGATCCCAGTGCTATAAAAACAAGTAAAACGAAAATTTTAACTATAAAAAAACGAAACGAAATAGGATCAGATTGTTAAAACTGCACTTTCTCCTTGCTTTTTGTAATATTGGCGAATGCCGAAAAACGAGCAAGTCGTTTTCCGATATTCAAACGTAGTTCTCAAAAAGAACAGATGTTTTATCTTAAAAAATGTCTACAAAACACAGTTTTCTAAAGATATAATAAATGAAGTTGTCTGATCAGTGAATTCACATAAAAACTGCACCTTCTCTTTGTTTTTTGATATTGGCGAATGTCGAAAAAGGAGCTACCCTTTTTTCCATATTCAATCTTGAATCTCAAAAACGTAGATTTGATGGACGTATCTTTAGAGAATGTCTCCAAAACACATCTGATTAAATAAGTTTTCAAAAAACGAACTAAAGATATCTTGAATAAGGATGCTAGAGCTGTGGATTCACATAAAAACTGCTCTTTCTCCTTGATTTTTGAAATTGGCGAATGTAAAATTTACACCATAGATTACTTTTTTTTCAAATGAAACTCCCAACAAGTGTAACCAGAGCTTCACCCGAACGACTATAGACAACAGCTTATACTTGTCGACCTCGAATGGCGATACTCTGCGACAAGTGGGAGCGTATTTGAAACATCCCAAAGATTAGTATCCCTGACATTCTTGACTATCACGAAATATAATCTTTAATAAAAGATCAAAACGCAATAATGGAGATACCACAAATTGGTTCATATAATCAAGAAATAACTATTTTTGTTCAGGGGATGGGTGTCAAAATCTTTTCAAATATCAAAGGATTCTATATAAAACTTCTATATACTCTTTTTATTCTACCTCCCCGAAAAATGCATAAATCCCGGATCTCACATTTAACTTACATGTAATTAATTTAATATAACATGTTTTAGAAATATTTAGATATGTTTGGCAGTTCATGATATAGCAGTTTCAATTGACAAGTAGCCGAGAGCACGTTACAAAAAATGTCATTAGATTATGATAATAATGATTGATTTATAGGTTATAGCTTCCGTGATTAGGCAATCAGAAATGAAAATAACATTTTTATTAATATTTAATATATAACTACTTATACAGATGTAAATATTTGTCCACAGAAATACTTTCAGTTTAGAACTAGTTTTATGACCTCCACATTTACAAAATTGTGCAAAATAATTTAATTTTCTTCATGGCCCTGAATATTTAAATTTTATACGATACATCCCGGACATCGACGATATTTTGTCTAACAGCATGATTGTGATTTTCAAACTATAGTTCAGCTTTCGTGTTATACTTCTATATGACCCTTACCTACGGAACCCAATATTAAATGCGAATCGTAATGCTAAAAGTTGTTATTCTGGTTTAATACCTTACCCAACTTTATTTAACAATATCCAAATAGCATAATTATTTAAAGGTACTATCCCGATTGGAACAGAGTCTCAAAAATAAAAGTCCGAGTACGTATGAAATTTAAGCACCCAAATATAGAGAAATGGTGTATTTACCTTGTCTCAAAATTTCAGCTCAAAATATTGAGCCGTATGGACGTGAAAGTCAAAAATGCTTATCCGGACACGTAACCCTTTTAAGATTTCTGGTCAATTTTTTCGTTGGGCGACCTGATAATCGATTCCCGTTACTTTAGAAGTCTATACAGTGAATGCCCCGTGTGCTGTACTTCATAACGAAGGGTAAATGTCACCTATACATTATTTTTATAAAACAAAAGTCTGGTTTTATCCAGACACCGTATAATACAGTTTGGACACTGGTCTCCATTTCCAGATGAAGACTGATGGGTTTAAGTTGTTTGAAAACGTATGACAAATATTGAGTTAGCTGCTCGGCTCTTAGGTAGAGGATTTTAAGGGATTTTAACACAAAATTAAACATTTTTATTCTCCAAAATATTATCGGGATTGGCCCTTTAAGGTCAATCAGACTATTCCCCCGGTCATATTAAACTAACAACTTCAGCATACTATTTAATACCAAGGGCCTATATACTGTACAGGTTATTTAAGTTTTCTAAGAGATGCCCTGGTTAATGTATTGAAGTCGTTAGCTAGAACCAGTGACAACGAGATCTAGGCTAACAAGGTAGATCAAAATCGGGCAATGACATCATAATTAATCTTGACAACCGTCCTCCTTGTGCCCATATTAGTACACTGAGTTTAAATCCGGGGTAGCGTCTGAGCAGCTGACCAATCAGATAAAGGTGTACTTGACCACTTTCCTGGGTGTCAGACGTCAGTATATGACCCATGCACGTATCCTCTTTATAAAAACGTGCGGGATTTAAGTTTCTTTGGACATTATTCGGAGTTCCTAGGAGAAAACATACCAACAGACATCATTCAGATTACCAGGTAGATTCTAAGTGTAGGATAAAGCATGAGACTGGGGTAATGCTGGGGGAAGAAAGACTGAAGAAAATAACCTGAGAAAAGGAAAAAACCGAGGCCAGCAGGCCGAGGTCTTCCCCAGCATAACCGAAGTCGAGGACTTTATCTTGCTTATAAACCGTCTATACGCAAAATGAGAATATCCCAGAATTCCCGTAAGAAAAACCTTATTATATCATGTCTTCTTATGGAAAAAAACAATCAGAAATACAGATCTATAATTCGTTTCGTTTTTTTATACTTTCGATGGCCTACACTACATGAAGATCTGACCAGTTATAGCGATAGGTCACGTCAGGGATCAAAAGACCGACTTATGACCCTATGACGTCAGACATTTGATTAACTAATCAGCATTGATGTTACTAGTGGATTACCCACAGTTCCGTGAAAAACACTCATAAAGCTCGCCGTAACAGACCGTTTCATTGGCTTATCCCTGACACCATTCAGAACACGAGTTAAATAACAACTCTTCCAGATCCAAGTGTAGTAAAGACAAGTAAAACGAAATTTTGAACTATAAAAACGAAACGAAATAGGATCTGTGTTTTAACCAGATTGGAAAGAAAAAGCCACCCTGGAAGAATAACCCGTTACAGGTTTAGAACTGGATGCAAATAACACATGACACAATTATATGAAATACAAATTACTTGAAGAATTTATTTCAGCGACGTTTCGACGAGGGTTCTCCCTTCTTTATCAAGCAAAGAATGACTAAGTTAGTAAATATTTGTTCTAAAAGATAACGAATACAATATTCTTTGGAATAAGATATTTGTTTTAAAGGTAAAAAATTTTTTTTCAGAATCGCGTCACTTCCGGCAATTATTTGATTAATTGGATATAATAACAGTTTATAGAAATGAAACTCTGTTATGAAAGTAACAAAGTAAACTGTTACTACTGGGTGGGTGGGGGAGATTACAAAAGACGATTTAGACAAATATAGAGGCAGGCCTATTTGCTATTTGGGAAGAAAATGTTTGATATCACGCATGTTGACATGTATAAATTTAATTGGTCACATCTGTAGGTATCATATGGTGCAAATTTGATAAAGACAAAACAATAATTTGATATTTTTATGGGCATGAAAACCTACAAACGCCAAATGTATTGATATTAGGTTTATGAAAGATAAGAATAACTATTAAAAAGTGAAACGGTTATTTTCCTTTGACAATATATCAAGCTATGCTTAGATCAAATAATATTTTTAACCCTAAATGTGATCAGAAAAAGCCACAAATCAACGTTTTTTTCTAACAATTCAAAATGTTATGTCAATCTTTATTATTACCGAGTTTATAAGCCAAAAAGCTGTCTTCAAAGGGAGACGGTTTAGATTTTTAAGATATGATAATTATTTTTCGCAGATAAGTATCTATACACATACAAAAGTTCAAGCAAAAATTTTTCAAAAGCAGTTTATCTATAACTGTCATAATTTATAGTTTTATGCACAAGGTCGCCGGCAAAAGTAAACACAACGCAAGACAATGTCCCAAAAATTACAAACTTGAAAAAAGCCGCGTTCTCACAGCTCTACAGGTCAGATCGGAGAACCTTGGCGTTTGTTTTGTACATGCTCAAAGCAATCGTCGTGACAGGGCGATCATTGGAGACTATGGAGATCACAGCACGATATCTGGCGTTTCCACCACGCTTTTAGCACTTTATGGCGATCTTGCGCGCTCTGAGACCATTTTCCGTCGCCGTAGCAGCGCAATAAGGACGCCACCCAGGTCTGACGGGGGTATAAAGATAAAGAGCTGACAGTTCTCGCCACAATAGTTGAAACTAGATAATAACAGGGAATATGTTGAATATTTCAGTCAAATTACCTCACTCGGAGCCGAGTTATCGCCGTTAGAAGAATCGGGTAGACTCGATTGTCATCACGATAATAAAAAAGTCTCGATTATTCATTTTAAATTAAATCATCACCTGCAAATTATATTTAAATCTGTTGAAAATCTAGAGTATCCGATGGAATCAAGGGTTGATTATGGTCTTGGTAAGTTAATTAATGTCTAATTAATAATTTATATATCATTTCACGCATAAAGTAAGACCTGCAATGGGCAGATTTAGTTCTTGAATGATGCATGTTTAAGTAAAATATTTGGTGATGGATGACAGTTGCCATATTTCATAGGTCACAGATGACAGATTTTAAAAGATAAATATTAGTTTGAGAAATATGGCGCCTTTATAAAAAAACGTAAACAAAATAATAGATTTTATCATCAAAAATCGTGATTAGTCTGATAAAGATAAATTTACTTCATCATGGCCCTTGGGCAAGGCCCACATAACAGGCAAATCACAAATACTTTAAATCATGGTGTTCTCTTAGATTTGGCTTGTCATGGTGACGTAGGTGGGCTACAGTATATAAGAAAGTTTCATACGAGCGTCTGTTAAACATAAAATTCTTAAACTCTATCATCTGTCAAAAGTTTAGCAAAACTCAAAGTCAACCTCATAACATTCAGATGGAAGGAAAACGTGTCTTAAGTTTTGTATTGTTAGCCGTATTCACCGAATCAGCAAGAGGTAATTGCTTATTTTATTTAATATATTATTTTACTTTTATCATCCAGAAACAATGATATATAAGTACAATAATTGATTGTATTAGCCACGGATATAGAGAATCTCCTATGAGTCTTTGTCGATAATGTAAATAAAGAACGAGGTTTTGCCGAGTTTTTTTTTACTTTATCGACGAGTGCTGATATTGTTTGATCACCCTGCACGTTTCAAGTCAGTAGCTTGAAGCGTATATATGGTATTAGTGTCAGTGGCTTGTGGCACGAAGTAACAGTATATTGTCGCATACATAATATATTATGTCAACGCTTGGGCGACATAATATATTGTGTTGACGCTCCAAGCGTGTTAGCATATTAAACCTGTAGACTCAGTGGAATGTACGCGTCATCAGAGCGGATCCAGGGGTTGGACCATGGGGACCGGTCCACCCCCTTAACAATAGAAAGTGTCCCTGTAAATAAAAGAGGGCATCCTTATCAGAAAAAGGGCACCTGTGATGTCAGAATTTCAAAAAAGGGCACTTTTCTTTCGGATTAGGGTTAGGGTTAGGGTTAGGACACAGAAAAGAGAGAAAAAACAGAAAAGAAAAAAACAATCGAAACTTACCGATTCCATGATGGAAAATACCGCCAAAATATGTCTCCAAAGCATTCATTGGTTATCAAAGCGCCAATTAAATCTATCGTTGCAAGTTCATGCCTAGTCACCTCCATCCTAGTTCCAAGCGTTGACATAATATATTATATCGCCCAAGCGTTGACATAATATATTATATCGCCCAAGCGTTGACATAATATATTATGTATGCGACAATATACTGTTACTTCGTGCGACAGGCCACTGACACTAATACCATATATACGCTTCAAGCTACTGACTTGAAACGTATCGCCTGGTTTGATATTAATAGAAGAGTTTACTTATTACCCAACCCTTTCTTACACGCACAAATAAATAAATATAATTATCACACAAGCGATATATCTATAATGTAATTATTATATTTGCTGTAAGTTATTACACATACACGTCACGATAAGTTGTATAATATATTATCGTCATAATTCCATGTCTAAATTCATTCCTAAAACAAGGATCAAACGCGTTATATGCAATTGATATGTGCATATACTATTTTACATTTAAGTCCGCCGCAGACCGACTAACATTAATTATTGGCGTCTACCAAAGTAAATGTTTTATACCCTTTTTAAATTTCCCGCAAACGAAGAATGTTTAATGCAACCGACCAACATATGTTTAAAAGAGATCGACGTTGATGTCACATGATTGACCCAAACGTCATGTGGTGTTAAAACGGCGACGTCAGTCATTTCTGTACCAGGTGATCGTTACTGAAATAGGTTCAATTATTTTTTCATGGCATTCCGTTTATGACCAGGTTACATTTTGAGTCTGATATTCCGTTTAAACGATGCAGGGTATGCTTGATCTGTACAGAGAACCTGCCATCACTTCTCGTTTTCTTACAATTTTTTGTTGTACAAGTTGCTTGTAAGGTGGTGGCCTTCGACATCCGATCCGAAACCAGTTGTGCCTAAAGTATCTCTCTGGTTAGCTTTGGGAAATGAGAAATGCCATGCATCAGGCAGGTCATGTCTCTCCCTCTAGAGCTCCTGGTACCAATTCTCGCGAATAACTTTGTTGTTCGCTTGCAAATAAATTGCAAGGGTTACCTTATACTTGTACTTTCCAAATATACTTGTACTTATCTTAGTTCAGGATTGTTAATTGATATAACCAGAAATCCTAACAAATATTTTTTTTCAATTATTGATTATTTTTATTTTAATGTTTGTAGCTACATGTCCGTCAGCCAGGTCTAGTTTGCCATCAGGTTGTTGGCGAAGCTGGGGTTCACGATGTTATCAAACCTCTGACTGTCTTGATGGTAAGTACATTATGTTAACACATAATCCCTTAACATTGATATATCGCATTTTATTACTGTCTTATCTTCTACATTTAAAATTATATATTTACCTAATAAATCAAAATTTGCATAAATCGACGCTGTGATGTACTATACTCTTGTTGTTCTTCTGTTTTGATCTTCAACTACGACAAAATTTATTTAGACTAACTAAGCTTCTTTGAATTAGTTGAAAAAAAAATAAATGGCAGTGTTGATTTGCTTTTCTTCTCGGGTATAAGGTTTACATTTAAAATTTCCCGCCTTAAGGTAGATCCAATGATGAGATACTGATTGTGTGAAATTTAATTATATAGCTCTTGTCCGATCCCTTATCGTCCACTAACCAGAAGGTCCGGTGTTCGACCCAGGCTTTCACAAAATTTTCCAGTGTATTCCCGTGTACACATTAGCATTCACGTAAAATAACAACTTTTGGTCTTCGAAGAAATTATTAGTGAGCAGAAATTCACCCGTGTATCTGTTATCACTCGTCATTTCAGTCAGTTATATAGAAGGATAACTCGTGTTTTCTTTTGCGTTCGCCACTTCCCTTTCCTGAAATCTTCATAACGCATACATATATCGTGGCAATGATCTCTGTATTAAAATGATATTTGCAACGTGTTTAACTAGTTCTATCACATATGTGACAATGACTGACACCAATATTGTTCTTTAACGAACTAACGCTCTGCTTCTACCATAATCAAAGAGGTATATACATATCTTACACTCTCATGTTTTCTCTGAGTAAACATAGGAGATTTCTTATTCATATTACCGCTCATCCCATTCTTCTTTCAGTTTAAATCTATTCTTTTCTTTTTACATTGAATACATAAAAACCCCGATAAATAGATAAACATACATTTTTCTGCAGATCAAGAATGCTGCGTGGTTCGACGCTGTTGGGGGTTGAGATATTGTCGGAAATCTATCAATCCAATTCAAGTACAAGTAAATAACAACAACAGAGTTAATACAGATGGTTTTAGTACTACACCGATTGTTCAGACACCAGTTCAACAGCAAGCAGTACCAACTGTTACAGAACCAGTTCAACAACAAGCAGTACCAACTGTTAACACACTAGCCCAACAGCAAGAAGAAGAAAGACGTCCAGGTAATTAAGAAAATTGAACATTATTTAAATAAACCCAGTAAGACGTATACAAACTATATGATGTCGTGATGTATCAATCTACACAATACAATCTAGTATGCGAGAAACGTTTATCGATAAAATTAAATGGGATTTAACGCCCTACTGTTCTGATCCGACTGGGCATGAAGATGGGCATACGCCATGCAGTGTGCCATGTGGAAATCTTTGTCCGGGCAGTGGCGCCACCGCCTACTCTTATTCTGAATTCCAACTGTTAAGGGTTATTTTACGTGTACCCAATGTGTACATTGGGCCTCGGCTTTTCGTACCATCCCATCGACTATACATTGTCCATTGCATGGCCCTTCGTCCTACGCCACTGACAAGGGGGAACCAAATGATCCAAATGAACTTTCTCGGCCAACGCATGGATCGAACACGGGTCCTCCAGGTTAGCGAGGCAACGACTTACTCACAGAGCTACCGCGGCCCTCTTTAACGATAAGGACTATTTAGAATGCAATAACCAATCTGTAACCTTATAATACTATTATTCAATTTACTTTATAAACTTTGTATAACATACTTTTTAATATTCAGCACACAAAATGTATTAGGTTTAAATTCGATTAGACATATGCGTATTCGGGTTACCATACACAAGTATTAATAATAGAGATCTGCGTATGCTGTACGTAATCAACTGTATATAGTGTTACTGCCAGCGTCAACTGGTTATGGTAAACTTTAACAGCCTGAGAAATTACAGAACGTCACACAAGTATCACAAACTTAGCAACATGATGTTTTTATCGATTGCACCAGTAAGAGATCCAATGCGCGAGCGTCACTGTTGCCATTTCGGAGCGCAACTAAATTTTTGTATGTCTGCGAAACGGTAATGTGTTTAGGTATGCAAGAGCTTATATTGCCTTTGGTATAAACAAAAATACCGCTTCAATAGCCAAGAGAATATAAGTCAAATAATTTTTAATTATAAATGTTCTTCCTTGAATTTCAGGACGATGTGGTCGAAATAGAGAGTGTAAGGGCAACAGTTGCAAACAGGACGGTGACTGTCCTTCTGCTAAAAAATGCTGTCTAAACGGATGTGGAAGACGAACCTGTTCTCCAATTCTACGATCTTCGATTTTCTTTCCCGGTAAAAAATAAAAAAATAAAGATTGTCGATTGATATTTGTGGTTTTGAGTCTAGAAAATTTGAACGAACCTGACGTTCTTGTCAATCCATATTTGATTTAACCTTATTGGTGTTCATTTACATATATTGTGTTTGATAATTCTCTCAGCAATATATAAGTATGGGTATTTAGTGGGTCGGTGTATTCATTCTAACCAAAATAAAACCGACTCAAAAGATTGAGGAATTGCATTCTTCAAAATTAATATTTCATCAGAAATGCTCCATCTACTAGTCAGCTTTGCTTTTTGTAACATACATTTCTTTTGACTTGAACCCACCCCAACTGATTTCAGATTGGAAATGATTTAGATTACGATAGCTTTTAATTTCTAAATGTGGATTTCAATTAAGAAAGGTTTACTTTATGAAAACTGTTTCGTTTCGTAATTTATGTATATTTTTATGATTATTGTTTTTGTATATTATACATTTAATATTGTATATAAAATTCATATCCATGTAGTATTTATTTTGTAAACTATCTTGCACTATGTTTAAGTTATTTTATATGAATGTAGCATGCCGGCAATTGATAATGTTTTATATTATGTTCAATAAAAGCTTTTTTCAAAAAACCCTCAGATTTCGTTTGCATCGCGTGTCCAACTTCGTGGAGTTTCCCATTGCCTCCCACTGCTAAAGAACCCTAAGCGTAAGCCTATAGCTCACAACTGTTGAACGTTTTTGGCAGCTCGCCGACAAGCCGCAAGAAATTGGCTGAAAATTGACGCGAAAGTCTCATGCACGGGTTTACTCAAATTTCATTGCAGTCATGGTCGTCCAGCGAATTTCTTATAACGTGCCAACATGATGTCTGCTAATCGTGTGGTGACGGGTATCATGTTCCTGAAGCAACGACTGCGAGTTTCACAACATCTGGCCGTTGCTTGTTTACTTCACAATTCCCGAACTTATAGCTATGTTATCTACAGACACGTGAGAAGTAGCGTTCAATAAGAGGTTGTGACATCGCAACCTCCACGGAAACCTTGACATTGAATGAACCTTGAACTTTGCAACTCGATTATCACAGGTAGACATTTTAGCTTGAAACACCGAGACTTGGTATTCGCGACGATCGGGGAATCTGATAGGCTCAAAAGTTGGGCTTGCACCCAATGGAAATTAGTGCTGAAATATGTAGGGTATTACGTGAAGGCCTTGATAAGATGTACGTAGTTAAAGCGAGATCAAGCCTTCTATTGAAGATGGTTGACGTCGTCAACAACATAGCGTCTTGTTCGCTCGATAATGAGAATTTAATATGAAAAAAGTAACATGTAAACAAAACTCTGTGATGGGAAAGTTGCTGTTTTTATTTCACTTTTTTTTATGTATTTAACGATTTATTTTATTAGTCGATACAAATGGCGCAAACATCAATTAAAATACGTGTCTCCTCCATAGATTAACCAAGGGGTTATTGGAGTGGAACGGAATGAGACCACTGGGGATATTGAGGGTGATCCCGTAGTAGCACGTACGGCGGGTTGTGAGCTAGGCTTTAGTACTCTCATTACCTGCACCTCACAAGAAGTGGGGCTAAGCGAGAGGGTCGCAATGACCAGCTTTGCGTCATGGTTTTGAGTTTTTGAGCCCCCCTCCTGAATTTTTGCACCCATCGCAAATGGCAAAAAATCACACGGTTTCAATGCGGTTTTCAACATTATAATCATAATGCCAAACCGGTCAGGTATGCTACAAATCGACTCTAGCATGTTCCACACAGCCCAATATTACCCGGTGGAACTGGGGGGGGGGGGGCTGCTCTAGATCACAAGCTATTTCCTTGAGTCAAGTGGCGTGGTTTCTAGGCATACTCGTACGCAGTGGCGGTGTCAGCTGTCGGTGGTAGGAGTGGCAAAGCTCGGGCAAAGTCCAAGGTTAAGGCGGCAAAGGCGCAAGCTTAACTAGAGATATGGGGTCCTCCCCCAGAAATGTTTTACAGTCTATAAGTATTTTAGGCACTGCTCGTCGAGATAAATAGAGCTGATCAGATACCGCCTGACGACAAATCACTAGCTTATTCTAATAGAGAGGGGGGTGTCAAACGAACGGAGTGAGTGAAGCAAAGTGAATGAATGTTCTTGCCGCTTTGAACCCATACCCTAAAACCTTTGAGGATCGGAAAAAGCACTTCTGACATTGATTGGTTCACGTGCTATTGTTTATAGTAGGTTTACAACAGGATGGGCTCGGTAAGAAATCTCTACAACATGCAAGTTTATGACCGAGTGGGAATGTGGGATTTAATCAGCGTATGTAGAAGGTATTGATTAGCGAAACATATCACAAATATTTTGTTTTATGTCTTTAAATTATTGGGGGGGGGGGCAAACAGAGGGCAGACCAGATTTATGGGAGGGCAAATACCCCCCCCCCCCATGGCGCCACCACTGCTTGTACGTGGCAAGTAGTAGGGTTACAAACAACGGTATACTAGACAAACGAACAATAATGAATTGAAGAGATAATCATTGTTTTCGTAAGTGTCTGTATTAATTGTTTTGTGGAATTTAGTCAGAGTTTGCTGCCAAAACTGTACATGGTGCAAACATTCTTCCAACGTAGATGAAGTTGACCTCCATGGATCTATTTATTGAATATAAATTGGGTTATTTTTGACAAACAGGAATAGTATTACGGACAGGACGAAAGATGGCCATATCTCGGTTATTTCTCAACGGATCTTCGTTGGGTTTTCATTTTTGGATTCTTTTGACGAATCCCATAGGGCCTCTCGCTGACAGTTTTTCGAAATTCGGAAGTTCGTTCGATTAGTTTTAGCATCATAGATTTGCGAAAGTTTTCTCCAACATTTTTTCGATATTCAAGAGAGCGTATCTCTGTCAGTATTTGAGGTACCAATGTTACTACAAATGGTCTAGTTTAAATATATTGCGCCCTTACCTTTTCGTCACCAGTCCCTCATATCTTATTATCGCCCATTTTGGAAACACTGTGTTAGATGAAGTCGTTTTTAGTGTGCGAGAAAATAATCCGAGAGGTAACGGAAAAAAGTTTCAAATACGTTCACTAAAAGCATAATGGGTGAAAGACGGGCAGAATAACTGTAATTTCCCGTCATCTTAGTTTACATTTTATGAGAATGTTTTTAAAAAGGCGTACGTCACCTCAGTAGTACTGTGTCGTACCTTTACTTTTGCCATTGCTAAAGATAAAGACATTACGGGACCGATTTATGAACAGTTTGGCGAATTAGATCAACTATTAAATTGTCATTCTCATAAAACATCTGCAATATCTAGAATGCCCCGCGAAACTACTAGTATTTGAAAAGCATTCCACGTCAGCCTAAATACTTCCACCACAAAAAAAACTATAGAACAAGGACAAAGAATTTGTTGTATCTCTAATCTACCCCCCCCCCACACACACACACCCCAAAAAAGTCTCCTTAAAGAGGGTCACGTGGATAATTTTAAAAAGTCATCGTAGACTCGATTGTATACCTAGCGAAATTTAGTGACTATGTCTGGTTGACGGAATCTAGAGTCGTGAACCCGTTTCTCACCTTGATATTATTATATCTACTGAAAGAGAATGGGTTTCAGGCGAGTCATTTGCCCCTAGTTAGAAATTGGAATCAGACCAGTTATTTGATAATCTCGATTACGAACATGGACGTAACAGACTTTAGACATATACTTAGTGATAGCTTAATGTTATTTTTGAAATATTTCCACGTTACAGGTGCCTGTGTTACGTCGCCCAAAATAAATAGTAGCCTTTTTCCATAAGTATGTGTTATAGTATTAAAAGATCTAGTAAAAGAAGTCATCTTTGTATCACGTAACTTGGCTGACACGGAAACTAGCAGCGGGTGCGAAGCCTGGGGAAAATTCATTGCATATACAAGACGATATTGTCTTCAATCGCTGGCCGTTTGCAATAAATATCGTAGCCTAATTAAATTCTCGGATTATCCACTGCCCACTTCTTTTTCCGTTGTTTTTATCTCAGGAACTGCTGTACGTTTAAGTCTTTCGCTTTTTCCTAGTTCGGTCACTATCAAGTTTATCAACATATACATCAAGAGCTCCCTAACGCTGAGCGAGCAGCCAATCTTCGCGTGCAACCTTTGACGTCACTTGAGCAGGTTGCCGGTTAGGGAAACCCTTACATATTTGTCCTGTATGCGCTCCATGGGTGTTTTCAGGGAATCCAGTATTTTTCTAGTAAGATTGGATGTTTCTACTTTCGATATATACCAAATTTGCCATAATTTTATTGGAAATAACCACCCGATAAATGCTTTTGTGGGAAAGTATTTTTAACACTGGGCTGACGATGACGAGTATTAGCTAGTAGGTGTAAATTTTGTTTGTCATGCTGGCGTATCGGGTCGAAGGTATATAAATGACATTGTTATATAGTCTTGTGCATACATAACATCCGTTTGCAGTGAGAAGTTTAACAGACCGAGTTGTCATAACATACATACCCGATGGATATGAAAATTATTGTTTGTTGTGTATTGTTAGCAGTGTTTGTCGTATCAACATCAGGTAACATATTTTTAAATATTCTTCTGATTTGTAAATAATCACAGTCACAGTGGCTCATTAGCCGAGTCTGGGGTTCGATACTGGTGTTGGCCGATGAAGTCTAGTCGTTCGGATAAGACAAAAAACGAAGGTCCCTGTACACCTTAACGTTCAAGTAAAATAACCATCGCCAGTTGGAATTCAATTACTGTCCAGGTAAAATTCCTTCATAGAACAATTCATGACGTATGCCCACGAGAACAGTAGAGAGTTAAACCTCATTACAGTCATTCATTTTGTTTAAGTTTTCAATAGCCTCAGTATACATAGAACACGTATGGTACTTTTAGCTTTCGAATAATATAAGACAATATCTAATTATACACAACTGGTTTTAGTACTTATAATAAGAGTGTTTATAACTTCGATAAAGATATCAACTCAAAAATCTGATCTTAATTATAAATATAAATATGCTGGTTAAATACTACACACCATCTAAATTAGTACATATGCATTAAGTATGGGCTTGTCATGTGAGAAGATGTTTAAATAATAATTAATTTATACATCATTTGAAGCCAGTAAAATTCATGAAGTAAACAGGCGTAGCTCTTGCATAATGCATCTTAAATTTTAAGAAATCCCAAAATACGCTCATATAAGAGGTTGATTAAAACTTGGATATGGTAAGAAGAAATTGGATATATAGATACCGAATTTTTTATTGTTAAATTGTTTTGTAGCCTGGTGGGGCAAAAGATGTCCCAATAGATGGTTTAATAGGCTCCCACATTGTGGGAGCAGTTCACTCCAACGATGCGGAGATAAAAATAGATGTGGTAGTGGTATGTATCTGTTAAATAACATTCTATCGCCATTCTTATATTATTTTATATACCAACGGATTTTTTCGAGATAACGAGATTCGATGGGACAAAATACTTCAGTGTGTCCGTTGGTTGGGACGGCTGTTAATAAATGGGGGCATCCAGGTCAAAGGTTTAATAATAAGTTTATACTGTCGCATGTCTAACCCAACTAACCCACCCACCGGTCAAAGACCCTTACGTACAAGCGAATAAAAAATATCCTAAGAGTATTTTCCGAAATAAAATAAATATATGCATTAAAATTACCCTTTTGAATCTTTGTAGGAAAAATGTGCTGCAAGGTAGGGTGGTGTCCAGGCCGATATTGTCGTACTCCTTACCAGCCCTTTAATTACTACAATTGGTTTCCATTCTATATTAGAAGAAAGAACTTAGTACATGCAAACAACCAAGTTGGTACAACTACTACTACTACTACCACTACTACTACTACTGCTAGAACTGTGGTTGATGTTGATGGTACGAATCGTCAAACCACACCATCCATCCAATCTGCTTCACAATCCTTTCAAATACCAGTAACAATAACACGTTCAGGTAAATAGAACACCTAATGTTAATGTCATTCATCTGATTTCTTAAAAGTAAGCAACGTAGGTTGTCTCTTAAATGATAATCAGCCAGAGGTGTAGCTGAATTGTGCAGGACTTCCTGTTTAGGCCAGACATATTCACAATCGGATTGTGGGGATTAAGTTGGATACCCAGTCAGTTTCAAAATTGGGGATTATCGGCATTTTTAAAATATTTTCGTGAAATTTCACTTGGTTTACTCCTTCGACAATATGTAATTTATATATTTAATAACATACTCGGCCCACTGCTGTTTACTTCCTACACTACACCAGTTGCTGACATAATGCGACGTCACGATCTTGAGCACCACATGTACGCAGATGACACTCAACTTTATGTTGAGGTAGATGCTAACAACAAAAACCTTGCGAAACTGGAGGCATGTATAGAAGACCTTCGTAACTGGATGAAGTCCAACTTCCTCAAGCTAAATGATGACAAAACGGAGGCTATCTTCTTTTCAAAAACAAAACTGTCTTTGCACAACTCTGTGCTGGTTGGTGATGTACACATTGAAACTACAGACTGTGTCCGTAATCTTGGAGTGCTCTTGGATGAAAATTTGAAAATGAAAAGACATGTTTCTACCATTTGCAAGAAAGCGAACTTCCATCTCTATAGGATCGGCAGAATCGGAAACGTTTTAGACATTGATACTACAAAATTGCTCATTAATGCCTTCGTAACATCTACACTAGACTACTCAAATTCAACCATCATATCTCATCCACCAACTACAGTCTATTCAAAATAAAGCAGCCCGAATTATCACAAGAACCAACATTAGAGAACACATAACTCCAATCCTTGCAGATCTACACTGGCTACCTATGAATTACAGAATATGTTTCAAAATCAACACCCTCACCTATAACTGCCTCAACAATCCTAATTCTCCGGAATACCTTAAAGATCTAATCCATCTATACATTCCCCAACGTTCCCTCCGGTCATCCAATCAACTACAACTCAAAACACACAAAACAAACACAAAATTTGGAGAAAGAGCTTTCTGTTTCGCCTCCCTCCAAGAATGGAATAAATTGCCCCTTTCCATTAAACAAAGTTGTTCTGCCTCAAGTTTTAAGAAGAATCTCAAAACACACTATTTTAATATGGCTTTTAATCAGTGATTTAAATGTTTTTATAGTGCTATTAATCATTAACTTTTTAAACTCAGTTTTACTTTTAAATTTTAAGGAGTGTTTTAAGTTATTAATTTGTGCGCCACTGAGCAGTTCTACTGAATGTACCAGCGCTATACAAGATAGATTATTATTATAATAAAAACTTTAGGATAGACATATAGCACGACGTTTTGACGAGTATTCTCTTATCGTTTTCAAGTACAAATAAAGACGATACGTTTTTATTTATGGGTAACGATTTAATTAATATACTGACTAATAGGGATCCCTATCGATAGTAGCCTTCTATATTTTTCGATCTGACGACATAAAGATATGAAATAAAGGTTTAAAATTAAATTTAGATTATTCAGAAACATAAGCAATGGGCAGTTGGTAACAACATAACAATAATTCTTTTATACTTGAATTTATTGATATGAATAGCCCATTTAATATTTACCAGAATAAATGTATACAATACAGACATCCATAATATGTACTATTTTAAGAAGCTTTTGAATTCTAAAATGTTCTAGAGGTTAACCCTTTGAATATTCAAGATAATATTGTGTGTGTAAGCTGAATACAAATATTGTTGGGGTTTTTTTTTTTTTTTTTTTTTTCAAAAACGAGTATTAGCTTCGACGTGTTTTTTTTTCAAAAAAAAACAAACAAAAAAAACATGTCGAAGCTTATACTCGTTTCGATATTATTGTATGGTTAAGCGAAATTACATTAATTTCGATCTTAAATCAGCAGTAATGTGTATGCGAAAATTGCATGCATTATAGTTTCCGAAAGGTGGAATTTCCCAAAATTATGAAGTAACCTTCTATACAGTGCTGTGCTGTACTTTACAAATCTGTAGCCACAAAAATTACTTATAATATATATTTTGATAATAAAACCCGTTGCTATTGTTATTCAGATACACACAGATGTATGTACATCTGTCTTAGTTACGAAAATGGCGTGTAAAATCCATGTAAATCCATGTAAACTTAAAATGGCCAATGTTTATTTTAACAGAATATTTCTGTTTCAATAAGAAGGTGCCGCCGTGGTTCAGTGAATAAGAAGTTGGCTTGCTAAACTGGAGTTCCCGTGTTCGATCCCGGTGGTCGATCAGGATTTTAAGGCGTGATTCCAACGTATATTCGTTCGGATGGGACAAAAAAAACAAGGTTCCGTATACACATTGGCGTGTACGTAAAAGAAACCTTGACCGCTTGCATCCAATATAAGAGTATGCCGCAGTGCCGTTGTCCGGGCAAAACTGCCTTCATAGCACACTGTATGTCTTCATAAGCTCAGTCTGTAGAATAATAAAAACGATTTCATGTTAGTTTCAATACGAGTGCTTTTGATTATTATGAATATTAGTATGAATATGATATTAAACTCCGTATCTAACTCTCTTTTTGCAAGTTCTGAACAAAAAGCTGACACACTAACAGACAATCATATTTTATTTGAATGTTGATATCTTTTCAGGAGTCTGTGATCGAGCACGCAGTATAAGCTGTAGTGGACAGTGTACACAGGATGGTGACTGTAGCACTTCCAGAAAATGCTGTAGAAACCGGTGTGGAACAAGAAGTTGCGGACCAATTTTACGTTCATCGGTTTTCATCAGTGGCAAAAAATAAATATAACCTGATTCCATAAAATTTTAATGTTCTTATTTATCCAAATATTATTGCTATTTTCTTGTTTATTTACTTGTGATTCTGATTATTAATCACAGGTAGCGAGCTGGGATATTTAAACTGGTTTATTTGCCCTATGCTTGCGTTCAGAGTTACGACTAAGTTTAGCGATCACCGGCTTTTTTTAGAAAGCAGCGTAACTTGAAAGGCATATTAGCTGGTTTATCGTGGCCATCTGAATGGTTTGGCTTCAATTGCAGGCATTTGCATTCTTAGGGCATAGGTATATCAATAGGTTTCAGTGGAATATTATTAATGGTGGCATTTCTTATAATGCGTGTGAACAGTGAAAGCTACACTCTCCTGTCTTAATGGTCGTCTGACATGCGAATTATATATATAGTTGTCTGAATGTACAAACTATGGCAAAAATGAACCAAAATTCTATGGACCGGTATCTAGGTGGTTTGTTGGAATATTAAAACGTTGACTTTCATGTCGTGTAACATGATCAGTGTGATCACGATTTATTCATACAATCCGAAAAGATCTAATATCGAATTCAAACAATATATTTCAATTTACTTTGGACACACTTTGAGTAACTATTGATGGCCAATATTAATCTATATTAATACATATTTTGTAACACTTATATGTCTGTAACACTAATTATTTTCCGCCAATGTTTCCATAAATAGTGAATATCATTTACCCCCCCCCCCCCCGCCACAACTACCACAAAGAAGGGAGGGGTGGCCGAATGGTGAGCACGTGCGTGCTGTATCGTAAAGTCTGTCATTGAGTCAATTGGCGTGGTTTCGATTCCCCGGTTGTACGTGGAATTGGGTCGCCTGTCCAACCTCGTGGGTGTCCTCCGGTTTCCTCCCACTGCTAAAGACCCCTACGCGCAAGCGAACTAATGAAATAAATTGAACCTTGTGTTAGTCCCGAAATGACCTAGTTTGTGTCGAGTGGAAGTTAAACCCCATTTCTCTCTCTCTCTCGCTATTAAAGAATGGATAAATGAATTTTCTGAATAATTTAAAAATCGTTCATTTTGAATCTGAATAATCGCAATATATGATATGAGTAATAGTTACAGGTGTTTGTAAATAAATATTAATTCAAACTTTAATATAAATTTTAAACGGATGAATAAACTTAGATCCTGTTGACCCGTTTATTAGATATCGTCAAGAATAGACAGTATAAATTAGCTGAGTAATACTCCCATACGAACCAATCCCCCTTGTCATGTGTTTATTAACATAACGTATGTATAATAAGTGCATGGCAAGCTGAACATAATAAGCCAATGAAATGAAAGGTTACACCAATACTTATCAAGCAGTGATGTAATGTTTGAATTTTGTTTGCGCAAATTGCACATATTGAGCTAATAAATAATATCGTCTGGAATGACAACCTGTCGATCAAAAAGGCCAGGATTGCCATTTTAGCGACGTTTTGTTGTCTCGTCGGCAAAGTAAATTATTAGTCCACTTAAAGATGCATAAAGTAAGATTTATTTAAAGCGCTATAACAGTTGAAACTAGATAATGAAAAGGGAATATCTTGAACATTTCGGTCAAAATACTTCATTCTGAGCGACGTGTTTAAATGCGTTGAAAATGTAGAGAACCCGATGGCACCGAGAGTTGATTATTATGGAAGGGTATAGGGGTCAGTAGCGCGAGAGATTCCGCAATATTAAGTTGCTAATATGTCAACATATTATGATTGTTCTGATGATTTTATCTCTAAAATACAATTTTTGCCGAGTTAATTAAATAAATAGCTATGTGGTATATCGCCATTTTGTAATGTATGGTTCAATTTAGCTTCAATAATTCGCTTGCGCGTAGGGGTCTCTAGCAATGGGATTGAAACAGGAGGACCGGGAGACAACCCACGAGGATGAACATGAGACCCTACTCATTGTCATGTACAAACGGGGAGTCGAAACCATTTCACTTGACTCAATGACAGACCTTTTTATCTAACGCGGCGCGTTAAATCATTCGCCCGTACCCTCTCGTGGTTGAATTTGTTCGACAACCAGGCTCATTATTCATGAACTGACAGAACTGACAGAAATACAATCTAAAAGACGTGATTCTTCCATATGAACAAATTGAGTTCCGCTTGGTTGGGTGAAAAAACATTACGTGTTTAGGCAATCGATCCAACTCTTTGTCATTAATATTCGTGGGACCCATTAAAAATCATAGTCATATTGTTTACAGACAACCACTAAACTAAGTGCCTTCATATTGACATTATTATTAATTATACGTATATGATTGCTTCGCCACGAAAATATAAAGTTTGTTTATTACATTGCACATTTTCAAAGGTACGATTTCACTTAGTTGTGAGGATGACAAAATCGCGAATATACATCAAAAGAATGTAAATTTACATATAATCCTCATAAATTACCATGCAAACGGCGGCAAAGAAATAACTGGAATAAGACAGACGAATTGTATCCTTAAACATACATTATGCAAGAGGTAAATCTGCCTATTGCGGGTCTTTCTTTAGGCCTGAACTATTTTCTAAATTATTAATTAGACATTAATTAGCTTACCTGGATGGCATAATCAACTCTGGATGGCATAGGATTTCTCCGATATTAAATAGATTAGGACAGTTCAGCCATATTTTGATTTAAGCTAAAAATGGAGGAGCGAGACTTAGCTTCGAACAACCAATACCATGGTTGAAATTATTGCACACGTCTTGTCAAACCTTTAAAGGCTCAATACCACTCTTGTTGTAACTGAATAATATGTCCCAATCTTTATTCTGGTCAACAAATTGTACTATTTTACAATATTCCAATTAATTGATGATACAAATTTCATCTTAACACAACTAATTTAAAAAATTGGAAAAATTCAACTAAATGATTTGAAAAGCCTGACTTGGATTTAAAAATATTTTTGAACCCTGTGGACAAGTAAAATAGGATTTAATGGATAATTTACACAACAGGTAGGACACTAACACATCTAGTACTTAGAATAAGGCTATTTTTTTATTTTCTGGGGCTGTCAAGCCAGCAAGAGTGTTATTGTCCCTTTAAAGACTTATATTTTCGCTGGCAATAGAGTAATTTGAATGAAATTTTCAAATTATTCATTTTACATTATCTATTTTCATACTATTATACTATTAAGTTTCTTTGGCAGTTTGATTGGAAAAAGACTTGGGACCTAGAATTTATGACTAGTAATTAACGCCCTTATCTCGACGATGTGTAGTTCCTCTAGCAATTCTCTCCCCCATATCCTTTTGCATGGCAAATTTTGTTGATTCTTGGTCTATAAATTCCTTTGACCAGGTCTAGCAGAAAATCTAAATGGTCAATCCATTTGAATGCTTTTATCATATGATTGTGCTATAGTGGACTACTTGTCGTTATAAAGATTATCGGAATAATTTCTTATTCAATACACTTTTGGAGTTAACATGCCATGACCGAAGTCTATTATTTCAAAAGAAAATGATCCTATTGAATATAACAACATAAAAAGGTATGTTTACCACCCGGAAATAAATTTTTCTGGAGAAAATAATCCTATTAAACGACATAATAAAAATACGTTTTTCACTCGGAAATAAATATTTCCGGAGAAAATAATTTGAAAAACGTTAATCGACTTTGAATAAACACTGTTTATTTAATCCATCAGACAACTTTTAACTGCAACGTTTCAATGAGGATACTCTCATCGTTATCGAGCAATAGCGGTGAGAGTATCCTCATTGAAACGTTGAAGTTAATACACCTAGTACATGTTATCCAAAAAGCTGTTTATCGTTATCACTAAATGGCCTTTAAAGATATTTATTTAGTCCATCAAACAGTTTGCAAAGAATTCAGTTAATATACTGATTAGTTGATAGAAACGTAATGTGTTTCTAACAAACAGTGCTTGAATACAGTATAAAAACGAAACCAGTTAATGAACAGGATTGATTTCTAATGCAGTCAAAAATGACAGTGGTTTAATATGTTATAGGATATTTTTGGAATAATTTGTACATAAATCCCAAATGGTAAATCTTGCCTGTTTCTTTATCGAAGGCCTCTCAATACAAATCTGTTACTATAAGAATATTTTCGTATATTCTATGCTCCATAAACCAACATATTGAATGTCCATAAAGATTTACGCGGGTCATATTATTATACTCGACTGGTGTCCCTAGATAAGCAATAGCGTAGTCGTGTCCGTCACCTAATCCACAAACGTTTGTGTTGATGTATTAGACAAAATGTATAGGTACTTAGTGTACGTTATATTGACTTTCGACATTTAAGGTGCATTCCTGTTGGGGTCAGACTACAATGAACGATACAGTGACCACAATCCTGCATGTGTTTCTTCTTTGAAAGTAAAAATGGGTAATATCTGAATATGTAGTTTTTACATACCCAACAAGTCGTGACATTTTTCGACTAATTAGATATGTCGAAAGAATGAGATCTTTCTTCTTTAGTAGTATCTAGTTTACAACCGGGAAACATGGTGGTGACATGGTGGCAATTGGTGGTGGGGGTTGCAGCCCTTGTATTTGTTTCAGTGGGTAAGTAGACATAAAAATCAATGAAAAGGAAAGGAATGCGTTCAAATTGCTTGTCATTACATAACCGCACATTTGGAAACTAACCTTTTGTTAAAATTTTCTTTGTAATGCCAGAATAGAGAATTTTGACCGAAAAGCAGCGTTACCCCCTATCATTCTTGATTTGTATGATATTCGAACAGTGCTTTATTTTTAAGCAGGGAACCACGATGGATCAGTGAGTAAGACAATGGCTCGCTAGCCTGGGGATCGCGGGTTCGCTCCCGGTCTTGGCCGAGAACGTTCATCGCGATTTTTCGGCGTGGTTTCCCCATGTCTTAGGTGCAGGACAGAGAGGGCCTGACAAGGACAGCTGTCTAGTCATTCGGGTGGACAAAAAAAACGAGGCCCCGTGTACACATTGGCATGCACGTAAAAGATCCCTTGTCAATTGGAATTCGATATGAGAGTAGGCCAAAACTCCCCTCATAGCACAGTGTATGGCGTATGCCTGTCTTCATTAGACGAGTCGGAACAGAACAGTAGGAAGTTAAACTCAGTTTCATTTCATTTCACTATTTATAAGCATGACAGGCGCTACCTCGGAGAAAAACACAATTTAAGAAAGAAAGAAATGAAGAGGACCGTGCTCTAATTACATACTAGAAATCCCCCCCCCCCCTATAAAACAACATTCTGTCCTTTCCGAATGTTACATCTCGAATTATATATCCAATTGAGTTATATTATTCTTTAAAGGCTCAATACCACTCTTGTTGTAACAACAGAATAATATGTCTCAATCTTTATTCTGGTCAACAAATTGTACTATTTTACAATATTCCAATTAATTGATGATACAAATTTCATCTTAACACACCTAATTTAAAAAATTGGAAAAATTCAACTAAATGATCTGAAAAGCCTAACGTAAACCTTTTTAAATGTGACTTGGATTTAAAAATATTTTCGAACCCTCTTGACATATAAAATAGGATGTAATGGATAATTTACACAACAAGTAGGACAATTAAACATCTAATACTTAGAATAAGGCTGATATTTATTTACTAGAGCTGTCAAGCCACCAAGAGTGTTATTGTCCCTTTAAGTAACAGTAGCGCAACATTTTCCTCCTATAGAAATGGTTGATGTAGAAAAGCAAGACGTTGAAAATTAATTTCTAAGGTCACAAAAAATTGTTATTTCATGAATGATTAAACAAAATAATTGTTATTTCATGAATGGTTAAACTATATTATAGTTGAATTTTGGAGATTATCGATTATCTTTATTCCAGATTGCCAAGAATATCAAAACATGGAAGATTTAACTTTTAAGACACAAGGTATGGTTTATGTTCAGATAATAAGACTATAAAATATACAATTAGCTAACCAAGGATCTTGAATATACATTTATATATTCATCAACTGAAATTAAACACCATGTCCACTTCCAAATGGCTGGAGGATGGGTCATTGGTATTACTTTTCTTGTCAGTAAGTCAGACGCAACATCCGTGGTTCCAAAAATATATAGGAATATTTTTCTATTCCGTTTTTGATATACCAAAACCAAATGACATACTTGTCTGTGTAGATATTGCAAAAACCTAAACGATTTAATGATATATGTAATTTTATATAGGCGCTTGTTCAGTTGTTGTAGACAATAAGACAACATTTTGTGCCCCACCTATCACCGATTCATGTAGAAATGATAGTGATTGTGATGAAGATGTAAAATGCTGTGACAACCCATGTGGTAAATATTGTGCTAATACGACCATGCCATTTATCACCGAGAAACCAGGTAAGTTTTACAATTCGTTTAATATAAAAATAAACCTGCTGTCGAATCTATTAACAAGTGAAGGAAAACTAACAATAAAAGGGAGATAACACATCTTGGCTCTCGACGCAGCCCCCTACAAAGCAATACATTGAGTGATATTAAATGCACTAAAACAAAGCTCCGACCTATTGACGCAGTAACTGATCAACCGCACCCCCCCCCCCCCCGCCCGTTAATTGACAGAGGAATAAAAGGGAGATACCACAGCTGTGTTTTAACATTATTTTGTCTTTGAATCGAGTGCTGTTAAATACATTACAAATAAGGCCCTGATCTCTCAACGCAGAGGCCAATCAAGGCGTGGGCTCCCCCCCCCCCGGGCCACTCACCGTAATTATATATCGACAGCATTTGGCATAATCTGTTTCTATGAAACGTGTACATTTTAACGTTTGTTTATTTGGTTAATGTGGTCACCCAACCAATTAATGTCCTGCGTCCGCCGCTGTCTCGACGTGCAATTCGTCTTCAAGATATATTTTACACGGTCATCACAATTCCATAATCTATTTACAGGAATTTGTCCGGCATTATTAGATGCTGGTGGAGTGTCTTGTATTACACCTACGATTGATGAATGTTATCAGGATGTGGATTGTCAAGGAGACGATAAGTGTTGTGTAAATCCTTGCGGAAAATATTGTGCTCCTCCATCAAAACATCTTGCTGCATCCAAACCAGGCGAGTATGGTTCACCGTTGGCAGGATTAGTCTATTTATATCAATTAGTTTATATATTATTTAAGACGACCTCCAATAAGTCTCCATATTCATTAACTAAATAAGAATTGGTTGGTGAATAAATTTTGAGTTCGGAAGAAATATTTTCTGATATCGAAAGTAGCTGTTAAAGTCCGTTAAACGAATTTTAGTGATAGAATTTCATATCGAAAGTGTATATTAATCAAACTGTCTTAAAATACATCACGTAACTTGACATTAACCCTTATTTAAATACATTAAGCCTATTGAACAGAAAATATGAAATATATGACTTGCTTCTGAAGTAATGTTTCGTCAATAAGCACAATCGATTCCAAAGCCAATTCTGATTATATTTTCGGCGTCTTGAATAGTAAATAGCTATAATAATTATAAAAAGAAAGTCAATGTTTTATTTCTATCTCTTCGTGTAAAAAGTCGAATTCCAAGCACTAGTGGTAACCACGCTGAACATGTTTAACCTATGAATATTAATGCAAGGACAATCTATTTAATTTAATTTAAATAGGTATATGTCCGACCCCATTCGATCCACACACCGTTTTCTGTGCTAGAAACAGTAAAGATTCGTGTAGCCATGATGGTGAATGTTCGGGAAATTTAAAATGTTGTTCCAACCCATGTGGTAAATATTGTGCTACACCTCACCTGCCAGCTGTCGGACTACATATACCAGGTTCGTATAACCCAAAGTAGTCTTAATTTCCTTATTCAGAATTTTCAGCAATTTAATATCAGTTCTGAAAATTTTCCGAATGCTGTATTACAGTACGATGTGATATCCAAGTATGCGTGAATTAATGAATGAAATGGAATGGGGTTTAACGACCTATTCTTCAACACTAACCAGCCTAATGAAGACGAACATACGTCATACAGTGTGTTTTGAGGGACATTTTGCCCAGACAGCAAATGGAACCTGACTGTCAATGAATGGTTCTTTTACGTGCACGGCAAAGGGTACACGGGACCTCAGCTTTTGGTAATATTCGAACGGCTAGACACTGTTCTTCTCTGGCCCTCCGTCCTGTGCCACTGACAATGGGGATCTAGGCTAGAAAATTGCGATGAACTGTCTCGGTCAACACCGGGAAGGAACATGGGCTCTCCAGATTAGCGAATGTGGCCCCCACTCGTGAAGGAATAATTACGTTCTATATCTAAATAAAAGCCCTTCTTTTATTCAGTTTCAACTGCGTCAACTGCTCCAGGCGATTGTCCCAGAGCTCCTGACCCATTACAGATTGTATGTTCTACACCCATCACCGATTCCTGTCAACATGATAATGAATGCAGAGAAGGTTTAAGATGCTGTAGCAATCCATGTGGAAAATATTGTGCCTTTCCAGTTCGACCAGAACCCTCATTTATACCCAGAAATGGTACATTTTCTGAAATACAGTTTTATAGATGCTTTTTGTGAAACTTTAACACAAAGGTTGGATTACCCCATTTACAATTCGAGGTATAGGCGTTGCCCTTTTTCAGGTTGTATCAAACGAATTATTTCTACATAATAAATAGAAGCTCCGGTTAGCCCAGTCCCTCCCAAACGCGAGTAACAAGAGAAGGTAAATTCAGAAGTCCTTCAAGAACGGTGAGGTGGTCGTCTATTTTTCAGTTATAGTGTTCACCCAAACTAAAGCCTGACTATTGCCCGATATGTTTCCACATAAAGGAAAGTCAGTATTACTAGGTTTATACTGGTCAGAGATATTTTCGGTGAGGCCGACACAGAAACCATCTTACGTCGAGTTGACGGTACGACATACCAAACTATACCCACTGACACACGAAGAAGAATGAATAGACGGAAATAACCTGGTCTTTCTCCTTGGTTGCATTTTATGTAAAGATAGTAAAATAAAAGTTCTTTATTTTGACAGATTTCTGTCCCGTACCACCAGATCCGAGAACAACATTATGTTCTCTACCCATAATAGACTCATGTGCAACTGACGAAGACTGTGATGAAGATGGAAAATGCTGTGATAATCCATGTGGTAAATATTGTGCTGGTACCATTGAGGAAATACCATATGATAAACCAGGTAAGTTAATAAAGAACAAAAGGAGTCTAATATTTAATAAGCACCATGTTTCAACACTACGCCTAATGTCGAGTTCAGTTCCAAATTTTATCCAAACTGCGTAGATTAGAGTTTTTCTTCCAGTAATCGCCCCTACTACCTATTTTGGGGGGTTTGTGCACCAACCACCAACAAGGACAACTTGTGGCGCAGAGCTGCATAGGCCCTATCGCGTTGTAGTACCGGAGTTATCTTCCAGTAAAAGCCTCTATTACCTATATTGGGGTTTCTGTAATACATATATACACACTCTGAAATTTGGGGTATAAGGGCAGATGATGACATCGAATGACATAGGTCAGATGGTGCTGCAGTACCACTTCCAATTAAGGGTTATAAACTTGTAACGCGGCACCAAACGATAGTTATTAATAATACCATTGCTATAGCGATTACATAGCAACCCAATATCACAAGAAACCTATACACTTAGTATTGCACTAACTGTCCAGCGGCGTTATGTCTAAATTCAGCCCCGGTTGTCCGTTCATAGAACATTATCATTTTATTTTCCAGGTTTCTGTCCATTGATAATAACATTTGGCGCATGTTCTACTACACATAATCAGTGTAAATCAGATATTGACTGTAGAGGGAGAAGTAAATGTTGTCGAAGCAAATGTGGTACCGTCTGTAGATTTCCAAAAAATGGGTGGTACTTCGATTTCCATTCCCTTATTTAGACGTCAGTGACACAAATCAATGTTTTCAAATCTTGGACACTGTAATTTAGTTAGATAATTAATTGTAAACATTGCAATAAAATATTGTGTAAGCCAAAATTGTAGTTATTTGTAAATGGTTTAGAAATCGTTGTAATAAAGAAAACTATACTTTGCATCAGTTTTTGTCATTAACAAAGACATAATATGGTGTCATGATACAATAAACAATGTTTGTGGTTTCATTTTTAATGGATTGATTACAATAACTATCAGAAGGAATATATTTACACATTTTGATAACTATCAGAAGGAATATATGTACACATTTTGATAAATGTAATGATAGCAGACAAACTTTATAATTTGATTTAAAAAAAATTGTTTTCAATCCATTCTTTGTTTCCGTATACCGAGTTCAAGTTTACTTAATATCAGAACAGTTTTATCATTGTCTGTGTCGTGTTCTTAGTTATGCACTATAAACAGCCACTTATCTATTTAAAAACTCACTAAAGTCTCCTGAAAAATGCAACCATATGAAGAGCTTCCACTGATTTAGTAAATCAAAATCATAAAAAAGAAAGGAAATAGAAATACAATTTTAATGCAGCGTAGGAATCAGAAAAATAAAGACAAAACCAAATAATTATAAATTGTAATGTTGTGTAGCAAATCAGAACTATGAAGACGAAACAAAATAAAGATATAATTTTAATATTGTGTAAAAAAAATATCGGAACAATATAGGTGAAATGAAATAAAGATACAATTTTAGTACAGTGTAGAAAATCAGAATCATAAAGACAAAACGAAATAAAGATTATAGAACTTGAATGATGTGTAGAAAATCAGTATATCATAAAGACATAATGAAATGAAGATGTAATTTTAATTAGATTGCGGGCATACAAAATATCAATAAGTGATAAGTAAACAAATACATATATGTCCAACACTGATTGATTGAATAGACTCAAATTTACGACCAACTGAACCAAAACGATGTCCAGACTATAATATACATAGATAAAATATGATCTGATATAAATTGATTGAATATGACATCTCCTCCAATCTTTAGAGTAATTTTTAAAATTTATTCTAAACTTTACACACAATGACATGTTAATTACGGGTCGCCTAAATAAAGTATTTCAGTTAAAGTTTGAATATGCACAAAATCGAAACGTAACTGCATTCCATTTTAATCGACGTGTAAAACAATAAAAGAAAACCAAGTACGAACAATCCAGACCATTATACAAAATAATGTAAACAGCAAATGGACTGTTCACCTGGCACCACACCTGACATAGCTGCATCCAGGCCATTAGACAAAATCTCGGTAAAATAGAGTAATTGGCCAGTGGATAAAACGAACAAATCTTGTTTAAACGATATTTCATCAAAAAAGAAAGAAGTCAACAAATTATAATGTTATATAAATCAGGTTTAAAGGACATTTTCACTCGCCAAAATTTATCATAGATTCTATATTAACGCCTATCCAAGCACTGGTTGACTTAGAGTAAGGTACTTATAGCCAAACGTTCGTCTAGAAAACCACTAACAACTGAATTGTATGACAAGTAAAACGACAGTTCAGACGTTAATATCTGAGTGACAGTTAATAAAAACCAGATTTCGATTACGATTTAATTTAACATTGAAAGTGAAACGAAATCAAAATTAGAATTTTTATTACATTGTGCGGGTAATAAAAATCTCAACTGATTTTTAAAAAAGTTGAACAATTAATTCATCAGTATGTTTTTTTATTTTGCCGATGAACTAAAGGACCTACAATTTAAAAAAAAATCTAGACCGAGTTTCCTTTTAAGAAAGTGTTTTAAATTCGTAATGTGTGTTATAATCGGTATAGTTATTATGCTGACGGCAACAGACAAATGATAATAAATATCTTCAAGATTTAATGTAAATTGTGCTGTCAAATTTGATATATCACGCCTTTGTATTTGACATATTGTCGTTTATCATAATGATAGTTCTATGATGTAAATATCAAGTTTTTTTGTCTATCTCTCAACGTTAAATGCTTCCCTTTTGTCCTGTACAAAATAAATAAAATACATAAATGATAATGTGCAACATGTTGTAAACTAACCATGATGAATGGTAATTATCTGTTAAAAACTTTTATACATGTAATGGTCACGAACACAATAATTCACGTCAAAACATTCAGGTTTTGATTTAATTCTGTTTTCGCATTATACCGATGTGTTATGCTTGTTTAAATATACACGATTTAATGTCAGTATCAGTACTGGGATGCAATCTAGGGACAATCGCAAGCATGTACGTCATGTATTGGTGGATTAAAAAAAAAGAGTGCAAAAATAAAATATTTATGAACTCTGATATACAACATAGTTTAAAAGAAAATAATACGAAACTTTAACAGTAAGAAATATATATCTTCCATGTATTTTCATTATATATCGAGCCTGTCTTGGTTTAATAGTTAAATAGGGATGGAATATTGGTAATTAGACAATGCCTTCAATATCGGCGTTAAACACTAAATATGGCAGCCTAGCTGAAATATTCCGACAATATATAGGCAAACAATGTACCTTACTTTCACTTTATATCCGGTCTATTTTGGTTAAAGGGAGCTAGGTGGGTTTAAACCAATGGTAATTATTTTCTCCGATACTGAGTGGATCAGCCAATGCCTGCTACATCTGCGTTAAACGAGTATATGGGGCGGGGGGGGGGGGGGATAAAGCGAAATGTTCCAACTGATCATAGAGCTATACGTAGTATATATTAAAAATCGTATTTGGATTAAAGATAATACAAATCTAATATAAATTTAATTGCATCCGCTCTATGAAATGCAAAAATAGGAGCCATTCATAACGTAACTCAGAATAAAGTAATTTGTCTGATATTTTCCACATATTCATATTTTCATTATCTATTTTTGAAAAATATTCCTGCAATGATAGCATAATAAATAATTTTGGGCGGTCTCTAATCCCAAATATACCTAAAAGCGTAAAGGAATGAAATGACCCGTCATAATTTATAGTTAAATCGTGGCCACCCTTGTATATGTACTTTACATATATGTCACCTTCTCATATTCATGGATACTCTATTGACATTAATGCTTATATCATCATTTACCTTTAACACCAAAACTATCAACCACGTCAGATCCCTAAAAAAAATCGTGATATCTCGACCAATGATTATCCGTCAGTTTTTGTCAAGGGTCAAAACGACTAGTTTATAGTTCGGAACTCTCCTCATTATTTAAATATGGTATATTTTTGAGAAGACTGTAACACCATCTTGTAACATCCGGTTCGAGCACACCACAGAGATCAACCGCCATGCTGAAGCTGTTCACAGTCACTATACTTTTGTCTTTAGGACAATTAGGTAAGAATTTAATTACTTATGTATTGTTAAGTATGTAATATGTGAGGTGTCTTATACAAATGGGGTTCAAAAAAGTAAAATGCTTTTATTAGAGGCTCTCGTCTTATAATCACCTTTTCTTTTAGCTTCAAACTGAAAACCCAATTTCTGGATTGTCTCTGTATGATTGTGAACCATTCAATTCAAATGGTAAAATGTTCCAATTTTGTAAGCCATTAAAAAAGAAATGCCCAAATCAAGTGAAATGGACCCAAGGGCCTACTGTAAGAGTTAAGTTGTGACTTTTTGGTTAATGCGGTTACTGTGGATAAATGGATAAATATTTATGGCAGCATATTTAATCCCGAAATACCTTTCGCTGGGGATTGAGCCCAACCCCTATTATGTGAGCGGCTTTACAATAAATATCTGAAAAAAAACGTCATCAGATATTTTCTTTCGTATTTCCCGGTTTGATTTTACAAAACAAATTAAGATAAAAATTTATGATGTTAATGACAATGATATTATCATCTTTGCCACAACAGTGATTCGTTTATAAGAATAGTCTTTATGGTTTCAGCAAGTGCAGCTTCTGATGCTTTACCATGTAAGGTTGGAAGACATCCACCAGGAAAATGTCCATATGATCCAACACGAGGTCAATGTGAGGAAGAAGGCGACTGTCCAATGGGTAAGATAAATAAAAGACAATCCATAGTCAGTGACTGCAAATTTGTTATGGGATATCTATTGAGCCCATCCGGACACCTGTTACCACTGTTTGTCGCGTATTTTGTACACGAGGAGCAGTCCATTTGCTGATTACACTATTTTGCTTGAATACACTATTTTGCCTATAACGTTTTTTAGGACTTCGAATTCTGTCTTATGGTTTGGATTGTTCGTACTTGGTTTTATTTTATTTCTAATGTTTCTACCCAATAAGATTCTATGCTCTACGCGTGTGATTCAATTTGTCTACGTCAACCCCAATCCATTGTCCACAATTTGATGTGAGCGTTCTAGAGGATAATGTAGTTGATAGTTATACCCACTGATTGTCCGGGATATAATCTGGTACAGGCTCTAGTTAATTATGATCCCATTGATTTGAAACTTATACACTAGAAGAATAATTAATTTATGGGTTGTGACAATTCTCACGTTACCTAGCATAGAATAAATATGGGAGAATCGCTGTGGAATGACAGCCGAATTAGGTGCTTTGGGCGTATGTTTCATCGTCCATCAACTAACCTATCTGTTTATATTCTAGCGAATACAGATTGTACTCTTCAGTATATTCAGAAGAACCCTTTTATTATACCGCGCAGTAACATAATTTAAAAATATATCCATGTATAGCCCTGACGCACTTAAGTATATGGGTACCTGTTCAGTCCCTTAGCTCCCTCGAATATGCCAAGTTAACATTGAAGTTGAATTATATATTTTTAAAAAAAGCATGATTTATTTATCTATTTATTTGAATATAGAGTGTAGATTAAACAAAAACGTATACTCTCAAATCACTGAATGCGCAATGGTTAGCAATGTATGTCAAATATCAAATTCAAATTGCTGTTCATTAAATTTTAATCAAATTAGTAATTGCGTTAAAGAGTCAGTACTATCAAGTCACCTTTAAAATTGCCTAATCACTTCTGCATCATAGTGGAACGCCGAGTTGATTTAATTTGTTTCAAATGAGACTAGAACAGTTAACCAGCGGCTGCCAGGCAGGATACGCCCACATTTTCGAGAGATGGATAGAGAACAAGCTAAGAAGAAAGTGATTTTTCCTACAATCAAGGGCCATAATTCAGGAAATAAAAATTCAATATGCGCGAATATCGAAAAAAACCAAGATCTTTGGGCTATAAACTTACATTTCAAGTTTCAACAAAATCGGATAAAAATTGTGACCTCTATAGGGTCTACAACCTTGATATACCATATTCTTACACTATTTGAGAACGAAGGGCAGCCATTTTGTCTGTCAGTTTTGGGCCGATTTTCACGACATTCGAACTCAGCTGTCCTTAGGGTGTAACGGTGTAATAATAATACGGTTTTTTTTAAATTGGATGAAAATTATGACCTCTATAGGGTCCACAAGCTAAAAATACGATTTTTCGTACAATCAGGGGCCATAATTCAGGAAGTTACGGTCCGATATGCGCGAATATCGAAAGGAACCGAGATCTTTGGGTTATAAACTTACATTTCAAGTTTCAACAAAATCGGATAAAAATTATGACCTCTATAGGGTTCACAAGCTAAAAACGTGATTTTTCGTAAAATCAGGGGCCATAATTCAGGAAGTTACGGTCCGATATGCGCAAATATCGAAAGGAACCGAGATCTTTGTGTTATAAACTTACATTTCAAGTTTCAACACAATCGGATAAAAATTATGACCTCTATAGGGTTCACAAGCTAAAAACGTGATTTTTCGTACAAACAGGGGCCATAACCCATGAAGTTTCGATCCGATACATGCCAATATCGAAAGCAGCCGAGATCTTTTGGTAATAAACCTATATTTCAAGTTTCGTCAAAATCGGACAAGAATTGTGACCTGTAGAGAGTCCACAAACAAATTGTGGACGAACGGACGTCCGGACGGACAGGGGCGACGACAATATACGTCCACATGAAAATGTGGGCGTATAAAAACCACAGAATTATAAGCGGGTTTGGGAATGATAATATGTTGAAGTTGTGTTTTAGCATAAGTTACAGTATTTTAAAAGACCTCACCTGGAACCATTCATCTTTAATAGTGCTCATATCTTCCAGTTCGTTCCAATATAAGTAGCTACTTTCTTCAGCTACTGCAAAAATAAAATAAGAATATAGATAAGATAAGATAAAATAAAATAAAATTAAATAATAAATTAAATAATCAAAATACATGTAAATAAAATAATATAAATAAAATAAAATAAAATAAAATAAAATAAAATAAAATAAAATAAAATAAAATAATAAATAAATAAATAAATAAATAAATAAATAAATAAATAAAATGGCTAGTGTATGTTTATTATAAAGGCAATTACAAACATATATGTTGTGGTAACTGTTCCAAGAAATCGTACTATTCATCGCAGTTAATAAACATGAAATAAAACTGCGCAGTCTATAGCACTGGCAGACAATTTTTTTGAAGAAAAGAGAACAGTATATCGATCGGATCATTTATGTAAACATGATTATATATTTTGAAAAAAAAGCGTACTGTCCACCGTAGACACAATATTTGTTAAAAAAGCTAAAGATTACTTAAATAAATTATCTAAGATTTAATTTATCTATAATCGGTTGTAAAGTTTATAACGAATTTAAAAACAATAATGAGGTGATACCAGGTGTTAGGTCTTTAAGAATTCAAGAAGGATTTCATAATTCAAGAACAGCTTATTACGGAAATACAACGAAATTACACAACTTAATTTTAGACTTGACGCCCGTGTCATCGTGATAAAACTTGTCAGTATATTTATTATCTAAATAGTTTTTCTCTTTAAAACCTGACGTCCATTACCGTGTTTTGTAAAACAAAACATTTGACAATGATGTATGTTTATTGTCCGTCGCTTTTCTCCTATATCAAACATATTCAACTAAAGAACTCTGCCGTCAAATGGCCTTACTGGTTTAAATGTTTGACAGATACAAACACCGAATCATTGGTCGATCCAGATAGGGGCCCCCCTCTAAATAACATAATAAAAAATTATATATCTATGAAACGAGTTCGATGATGAGTATTTTCTGTTAAGGCTAAGCAGAGATAAGCAATTTGCTTTTGGACACGATAACATTGATGCCAATTGAGCGATAAAACTTGGCCCATAGTTCTATTACAGCGTTCAGTAATGAGCAGGCCCGGTGAAGTGGCGCTGCAAGTACTCCTTTCTCCGGGTTATTGCACGCAAGTAATTAAGCGCTTACCATACAAGATACGCCTATATTTTGCAAGAACTGTATAGGGAAGAGGTAAAATCAATAGGGCTCATCCTCTCATTCAAAATCTTTGGATCCTTAACATATATGTGTTAAGTTTCATCAAAATGGGACAACAATTGTAGCTCCCCTGGAGGGCCTACAAAATTCATACATATTTCACATTTGTCGTAAAAACCAGGGGATATAGCTTTACAATGGAAGGTCTGACGAGCATTAAAGTAGAACTCATCCAAGAACTTTTGATCCTTAACACATAGTTTAAGTTTCATCTCATGAAGCGGACAAAAAATTGTCGCCTCAGGAAGGTCAATAAACTTCATTCATGTTTCATGTATTACGTAAAAGGGGCCAATGCGCACCAAAACTGAACTCATCCAAGAGCTTGTGATACTTGTTTTAAGTTTCCTCTAAATCGGATAAAAATTGTAACTTTTAGATGGTCCACAACTGGGCATTACATGCTTTTATACTATTTGCTTAAAGGGGAGCGGCCATTTGACTGAAAGTTTCGGTCCGATTTTCTGGAAATTCAGACTCGGCTATAATTATGATGTAACGGTGATATTTAAACGGTTTTGAAAGTAAGATAAAAAAAAAATGGTGAGCCCTAGAGGATCCACAAGCTAAAACGTGATATTTCGTACAATCAGGAGTCATAATCCAGAAAGTTACGGTCCAATACGCGCCAATATCGAAAGGAACCCAGACGTTGTGATTTTAAAATTAGATGAAAATTCGAACCTCTGGAGAACCCACAACCTGGCTTTTACATGCTTTTAAGGGTAGCGGCCATTTTGTCAGGCAGTTTCTGTCCGAATTTCCCGACATTTGAACCCAGTCGTAATGATGGTGTAACGGTGATTTTTATGTGAGCTTTAAATGATCCACAAGCTAAACATGTATTTTTATGAAGTGACGGTCCTATGTGCGCCAGTATCGAAAGAAACCGAGATCTTTCGGTTATAAACATACATTGTCAGTTTGAAAAAAATCGTATAAAAATTGTGACCTCTTAGAGTGTCCACAACCTTGGTATTATTGTGCATATATTTGTCAAGTTCACCATCGCAGGAAACCACCATCGATTGTGTTTGCATGGCAAGGGATTTAGAAAAGAAATAAAATGTCACTTCATTGCTGAGTAATGATCATCTCTGACGATCTAGACCCCAAGGCGGCCCCTGGACGGACCCTCGCTTAAAGTCCTAGAATAGTAGCCCCCACCCCCAATCAAGAATTGCTTCCGCGGGCCCTGCTAATGAGCATGTTCTTTGAACGTTAAGCATAGTGATATATAATTTGGTTGGCTGAGGGGTTGGAACACGCTAAACTGGATTGAGTGAGAATGATAGAACTTGGTGAATAGTTTTATTGCATCAATACCTTTGTAATACAATATCATTTGGGATCTAAATTTTAATATTGTATTCTGAATTCATATTTTATTTGTAACTCATTTTGGACATATATTAAGTGACAGATTAACTGTAAGATTTAATCTATATCAGGTGTGGGGTGTTGACTATTATGTAAGATGTAATGGGTTTGTCAAACATGTATACTCGGAGTGTCTATATGATATAAGATTTAGGCTTAACACGTATTGACACCTTTTGTCTTGAGCTAAGATGTGTGAATCTTAATAATTACTTTTCATTGTTCTGATTACTAATGCTATTAACTATGGCGTGTCTATCTGACGCGACAGATATTGCT